GAACTGGGGGTTTTAATGTGAATAAGCACGAACTGGTTGAGTTGGTTGTAGACAGAATCCTTAACGGGCTGAGGTTAAGTTTGTTAATGAGAAAGATGATCTGGTTCGTTGAGGTTCTGCATATTTAACCAGGAAACGATGCCAAAGACTATTCAGGGAGGCAAGAGGGTTCACTCCTACGACTGTAACATGACATCATACAGGCCTATGTGACAAACTCTTATTTTATTACAGAAATTGTAGAGTATTGATTAATAGACCAGGACAGATCAGCCGATAAAGTCTATTTGATATTCCTCATAGCAGGTGATAAAAGTAAAAGTCTTAAAAATTAGTAGAATACTAAAAAACAATATAACCTATTTAACATACAGAAACAAACGCACCATATAAATACCTAAATACATTTCCCCACTGGGGATCAATAAAGTATAATCTAATATTTGCTCATGATGTCGTTATCATTTTGCTGCCTCATATTAAAAACAAGCGAGTTTACTGCCCACTAGTGGTTATTGTGGACGCGTTAATTTCGTCAAGTTGACGTCAATGTGCGTGACATGACATATTATACTTCCGGTTTTACATAGATTTAAAAACATATCACTTGTACATAGATTATAAAAAAAAACATTTTGAGCTGCATCTGAAACATCAGCAGCATCCCAGCAAGCCTTTGTCTTTTTATAATTTTATTCTCTCAAATAAAATGTGTTCTTACATTCCCTCCACACTAGTTCTTTTTCCTCTTGAAATGTGAACACTGAAAACATGTTTTAACCATAAGGTTTAACTAACCTTCAGAGAGCGAGAATAAGTCTGGAGTTTTTCATATAAGCTTGTGTTGACTGGGCTTAGTCTAAGTCTAGCTAACCACCACTGCCTGAGCATATATCACACATCATGCACACACCCAGATTATATGACAACATACATTTTACATAGAAACACGCGCACATTTCCCTTTTGTTTGAATTTTTTATTTATTTAATTATGTTTGGTTCCTTGGTCAGCATGTGCCCTGTAAGCCCTAACCCTAACCCTTGAGTCCTCTGCCTCCTTCCGCCTCAGCTGCCACAACTGGACCCCCCACCCTATGGATAGAAAAGGGCACAAGCCCTGAACTATTGGAACTATCCCACCAGGATCCTGATGATTTAGCTTTGTGTTGACGGATATAAAACAGTTCTATATCAGTTATTTTGCAATTTGCCTCTAACACTGTTTGACGAAATGTAATATATTATTTAGACTTTACTTGTTTCTGGAAGTAAAACTACTACGTGATCTGGTCTAACTTGAAATGATTTGACTTAATTACATTATTATTATTATTATTATTATTATTATTATTATTATTATTATTATTATTATATTATCATCATTATTATTATTATTATTATTATCATTATCATTATTATTATTATTATTATCATTATCATTATCATTATCATTATTATTATCATTATTATTATATTATCATCATTATTATTATTATCATTATTATTATTATTATTATTACATTATCATCATTTTTATTATTATCATTATTATTATTATCATTATTATTATCATTATCATTATCATTATTATTATTATTATTATTATTATTATTATTATTATTATATTATCATCATTATTATTATTATTATTATTATCATTATCATTATTATTATTATTATTATCATTATCATTATCATTATCATTATTATTATCATTATTATTATATTATCATCATTATTATTATTATCATTATTATTATTATTATTATTACATTATCATCATTTTTATTATTATCATTATTATTATTATCATTATTATTATCATTATCATTATCATTATTATTATTATTATTATTATTATTATTATTATTATTATTATTATTATTATTATTGTATTATTTGTTATTATATGCTTTGGCAATATATATTTACACATTCATGCTAACAAAGCTAATTTAATTGAATAATGTAGTTCCTCTCTTTGACCACTGGAGGGCAGCAAACACAAATTTTCCATATTACGCTCACTGCATTTAGATCCGTGATGCGCCTGCGCCAACTGCGTACCTTTGGTGTGGTCATGTGACAGCATACCCACCGCCACCAACAGTTGTCAGGTAGGATAAATAATACTTTATCACTTATTAAAACGCAGCAGTTGCAGTGCGATTTCGGGAAAGTACAGAGTGGTACAATTGGTTAAATAAAATTAAAAAAAAAGAAAAGAAAAGAAAAAACTCATACCCGGAAGCGGAAATACTGTAATTTACGCTTTATGATACCGCGGGATAGGAGTCTTCTAGAAATGATGAAATACGGAGAAATAAACTCTGCAGACGTGAACCTTAGATTTGTATAAAAGTTTGCATGTGTTTTTGTTGACGACGTGTGAGCATTATCCAGAGTATCCCGGATGTAACTCCCTCACAGCTGTGGTCTGTAAACTTCCTGAAGAGCGACTGAACTCACAGTGAGTTTAAAGATATATATATATATGTATATATACATATATATATATATGTATGTTGGGGATACAGTTGTCTATAGATATGTTATAAATACTTAATAATTGACGTTTTGCAAAACAAAAAAAACAACTTAAATATTACTGCTTGGTTATGAACTGGCTCAGGTTGTTTGTTGTTGTTGTTTTAGGGAGATTTTAGTTAATCATCATCTGTTTGTGACCACGTGTTTAATCAGGAAATAAATCATTAAATAGATATTTAATAAACAGAAACCCTTTTTCCAAATATTTGTGCATCTATGGGTCACATAATATTCTAGGGTGTCTATTTAAAGGCTCACTGGTGACTTTTTAATAAAACGAACCATGACTCCTTATTGTCTTATTTTGGCTCAGAGATTTGATGTTCAGTCTAAGTGGTGAATCCAGCTGCTGCAGACTCTTTTCTTCTTTATCCTTGACCTCAGATCATCCATAACACTCTTTTTAAAAAGTGAGTCTCCTTCTTGCTACCAGAGAGCAGGGCAGCTCAGTTTCATCTTCTTTGCGGATAATCTTTTAGTTTTCTCCTTCCAGGTTGTATTCAGAATGCGGAACCGCCCGAGGGGATCCCATCTGGGCCTGCTGCTCCTGGCCTCCCAGCTGTTCCAGGTGGGCTTGGACAACGTACCCCCCGTCACCCTGGCTGTTCTGGGACTCAATGCGTACCTTTACCTGTTCCCTGCAGCTCCTCTGATGAAGGTAATGCATCGATGCAGCCCTGACAACACAAAGCAGAGGTTATTATTACAGTATTCTGCAAATTATGTTTAAAGCTAATCAGAAAACATTGCCAAAAAACACCGAAAAACAGATTTGAAAAGAGGGAAAGCCGTTCTAATTTAAAAGGAACACAGACTTTAATAAACCGAGATTCAGAACCAAATTAAGGGAACGATGTTTTACTGTGAAAGGAATCGGTTTATGGAACAATCTCAACAGAGAAACTAAAGAATCAAAATCAAATGTGATATTTAAAAGAAAAATTAAAGCCAGTTTGTTGAATAAATATGTGGAAATATGTCAGTGAGATACTGTTTTGTTTCGTGATGCTGTGACAAAAATGTATTGGGATAGACTTTGTACGGTGCATAATGAATTGTTAAGGAGGACTTACGATGGGGCTGCCAGTGGCCGTGCCTGCAGCCAATTTAATTTAATTTAATTTTAATTGTTTTTGAATTAAGTGTTCTGTTTTGTTTTAATTAATGTTTTGTGAAAGAGGGGCAGATATTATAAGATTAATCTTCTTTCTGCTCCTTTTCATTCAAAATTTGAGTTTTTATGTTTGTTTGTTTTTCTTAACTTTATTGTTTCTTTGAATTAAATAAATTTGACAAAAAAAATAAAATAAATAATGATATTATTTCAGAATGATAAAGTAGTCATTGAGCGGATATTTGAAGCACTAATGTAAAAACTTCAACCTGTCCACTCCTAGGCCTGTGTGAGTGTCCAGCAGGCGTACTGGTTTAGAGACTGGCGCCGCCTCCTGCTGTCCCCGCTGCACCACGTTGATGATTGGCACCTCTACTTCAACATGGCGTCCTTCCTCTGGAAAGGGATCAGTCTGGAAAGACGTCTGGGTGGAGCCTGGTTCGCCTACCTGCTGTCAGTCTTCTCTCTGCTCACAGGATTGGTCTACCTGGTGCTGGAGGCGGGGCTGACGGAGCTGACCCAGGATCAGTCCTACAGTATGGTCTGTGCTGTTGGCTTCTCAGGTACGGACGACTCTGGCAAACTCCTCTAAGATGTACAGACTAGAAATAGGACTGTTGTCAAAGACGAAGTCATCAGAAAAATAAAGCCAAAAAATCTAATAATAATAATAATAATAATAATAATAATAATAATAATAATAATAACTTTATTTATATAGCACCTTTTTAAAAACACAGGTTTACAAAGTGCTTTGACAAACAGCAAAAACAAACTAAACCAAACACAGAAGAACATAAACAACAACAAGAACAAACAAATACTAAATACTAAAAATAATTAAATACAATTCAACAGAAAAGAACCCAAAGTGCACGATACCCAACAGACATATAGAACCAGACCATCACAAGAACCATCACAAGAACCATCATAAGAACCATCATGAGAACCATCATGAGAACCATCATAAGAACCATCAGGCAACACAAGAACCATCATAAGAACCATCATAAGAACCATCACAAGAACCATCATAAGAACCATCAGGCAACACAAGAACCATCATAAGAACCATCATAAGAACCATCACAAGAACCATCATAAGAACCATCAGGCAACACAAGAACCATCATAAGAACCATCATAAGAACCATCACAAGAACCATCATAAGAACCATCAGGCAACACAAGAACAATCATAAGAACCATCATAAGAACCATCACAAGAACCATCATAAGAACCATCACAAGAACCATCATAAGAACCATCACAAGAACCATCACAAGAACCATCATAAGAACCATCATGAGAACCATCATGAGAACCATCATAAGAACCATCATAAGAACCATCAGGCAACACAAGAACCATCATAAGAACCATCATAAGAACCATCACAAGAACCATCATAAGAACCATCAGGCAACACAAGAACCATCATAAGAACCATCATAAGAACCATCACAAGAACCATCACAAGAACCATCACAAGAACCATCATAAGAACCCAGGCAACACAAGAACCATCACAAGATCCATCATAAGAACCATCATAAGAACCCAGGCAACACAAGAACCATCATAAGAACCATCACAAGAACCATCACAAGAACCATCACAAGAACCATCATAAGAACCATCACAAGAACCATCACGAGAACCATCACGAGAACCATCACGAGAACCATCATAAGAACCATCACAAGAACCATCACAAGAACCATCACAAGAACCATCACAAGAACCATCATAAGAACCCAGGCAACACAAGAACCATCACAAGATCCATCATAAGAACCATCATAAGAACCATCACAAGAACCATCACAAGAACCATCATAAGAACCCAGGCAACACAAGAACCATCACAAGAACCATCACAAGAACCATCATAAGAACCCAGGCAACACAAGAACCATCATAAGAACCATCATAAGAACCATCACAAGAACCATCACAAGAACCATCACAAGAACCCAGGCAACACAAGAACCATCACAAGATCCATCATAAGAACCATCATAAGAACCATCACAAGAACCATCACAAGAACCATCATAAGAACCCAGGCAACACAAGAACCATCACAAGAACCATCATAAGAACCATCACAAGAACCATCATAAGAACCATCACAAGAACCATCATAAGAACCATCATAAGAACCCAACAACACGAGCTGAGACCAAGAGGAGCAAAGATTTAAAAAGATGTAAGAAACTAAAAGAGATAAAAACAAATAAAAAGATAACAACAATAAGAAGGTAAGAGCAGAAAAAGAAATAGAAACAAGTGGTTAAAGGATCAAACAAACAAAAACTATAATATTAATAAAAATACAAAGTAAATATAAATATAAAACATAAATAGACAAAGTAAGATAAGAAATTACCAAGTTAAAACATAAGAGGAGATTAAGATATGAGCATAAATAAAGAGAGTAAGAAGTAAAAGAAGATAAAAATAGTAAAACCAGTAAGAAAAGACATTAAGAAGACGACATCACATAAAAGCAAGTCTGTAAAAGTACGTTTTAAGAAGAGATTTAAAAGAATTGAGGGAGTCTGAGAGTCTTATTTCATAGAAATACAGCAAAGTCTTTATAAAGATAAAAGTTCAAAAAGCAAATGTTTTACATGTTTTATTTGTTAGACTAAATGTTATCCTTTAACAAGTTTTCTTTTATGATGGAGTTACATTTAATTGTTATAAATTATATTTATCCAAGCAGCGTTTTTGTGTCATCTTCACTTCATTTCTGTACATTTGTTGTCTTGTTTTTTCATTTTTGTTGCTTTTTCTGCGTTTTTTCTTTCCTAAAGCGATACAACATTGATGTGTCTTAACACAGTTCTTTTCTCCTTCTTTTAACGGTTGGTTCATTGTGTTTCTAGGCGTCCTGTTCGCGCTGAAGGTGCTCAATAACCATTACAACCCTGGAGGAGTGACGTATGTGATGGGGTTCCCTGTGTCCAATCAATACGCTAGCTGGGCTGAGCTCGTGCTGATCCACATAACTTCACCTGGGTGAGCTTTTTTCACCAAAATGCAGAATCCATTAGCTAAGCGTAGCAGCGTCAACCCTCCATTTAATGCATGATGATGCACACTAGCACTGCCAACACATGCTGAATGGACGAGTTCAACCAAGTCTTTTAAACCGGGGTTTCTGTAGAAAGCCCTGAGAGCTGATTTTGAGAAACACTAAAGAGAAAGAGAAAGAGAAGCACAGGAGTACTTTGTTTAAAGTCATAGAACAATATCTCACCCTGACAGAAACCTTTAAACCTTTCTATCAGACCTCTTTAACATTTTGAGCTCAGGTCTGACTCTCAAACACTTGACCTGTAACCACTTACAGTGAGATGCTATTAATGAAAGTGTCCACCAGGTGGCAGTGTTTCACAAGTTAAAGATAACTTATTCTCTTCTTCTCCAGGACTTCTTTTGTTGGTCACCTGGCAGGTATCCTGGTGGGTCTGCTCTACACAGCTGGACCACTGAAGGCCATCATGAAGAAATGTGCAGGTCTGACTTTCAGTCTTCATCAGTATTGTTTATTTAAATGACATGGAAGTTACTCTTAAGAATTTAAAACACCAGTGACATCTTTGAGAGCATGTAAATGCTAAATGGACTTGAGCTTGTATAGCTTTTCTAGTCTTCTGAGTCCTCATCATCGAGAGACGACCGACTTTACCACTGAGCCACAGCCGCCCATGTGCAAAGCTGTGTACCTCAGTTTAGATTTAAATTTGACTTAAAATGTTGAACTTACTCTTTCTTTGTACTGAAAAAAATCATGTTTGCATATTTTCATGAATCCAGCGCTCGTGACATCAAACGGATATAACTCCCGGCCCGGTGTGAACTTCAGCTCTTCAGGCTCTTCAGGTACTGCACGCTCACACAAAGTTATTTAACTTACACACAGTATGCTCCTCCAGAGATTAACAAAGCATTGATCTGCATTACAGGACTTTGAACTTATGTAACCTGGGTGTGATCACTCGGGGTGGGAATCACCACAGGCCCCTCGATATGATATCATCACCACACTTGAGTCACGATTGGATTTCATTGTGGTTTTTAAAAATGTTGTGATATGCTCAGAATTACGATTATTTAGAAGACGACATCACATAAAAGCAAGTCTGTAAAAGTATGAAGGGCTATGTACACTTAATTTATACAGTCGTTACACAGAACAGATCAAGTTGCAGAAAAACTCAAAAGTAATTTAAAATGAACTACATCACTTTTGAAAATTTGACACCTTTAGTAGAAATCGTCAATTTTTTGATTTTTCATTTTCTTTCTTTCTTTGTGTTTAATGTGTGTGTGCGTGTGTGTGTGTTTTGCGTCCTGCCTTTCCGTGCAGGCTACAGAAGCACTGGTGGAGGATACTCAGGATACCATCAGTATGCACCCAATGATGCATCACCTCCTTCATCATCTTACTCAGGAGGAATGACGGAGGAAGAGCAGCTCGAGGCAGCCATCAGAAACAGTCTGAATGAGAGGGGTGAGGGAGAAGAGGAGGGGTGAGGGAGAAGAGGAGGGGTCAGAGTGACACTGAAATCCTAAAACTTTTTACAATTCAGCTTCAGTTTCAAGTTTTTTTTAAATCCTGCATTGTTTTGTTTCAGGACAAACCAATCAGAGAGGAGCTCCGCCTCCTCCTCCTTACGGTTTCCACCTGCCACCGGAGGCCAGCGCTGAGGATATCAGGATGCGGAGACTGAGGAGGTTTGACTGATCTGCTCAGCAGCCAATTGGAAGAAGGTTTTTACGTGACAGAACAGAAGAAGAAGAAGTCTTTCCTGAAGACTAACTTAAGACTTTGACATGCTGAAGTAGAGCGGCCTGAATGAGAAGGTCAAACCACACAGTGTGACACATAAAGCAGCTCATTGGCTGTGTGGAGCGGTGATGTCACGTTGGTCTGAGTGTTACCAAAGAGTTCATGTCTGCCTTAGAAAGCTGCTTGTGTGTTATAACTACAAAGTTCATATATGTTAATGAGCGGCTTTGGGCGCAGCAGTGAAGTTCTCTTCCAGTTTGCTGAATTTAAAGCAAAAAAAAAGGGAAAACTATTCAAAAAGGTAATTTCTTCAATCAATTCAAGATTAGAAACAGGAACTTAAAACATATTAAATGAGTTCTTACTGTTTTCAATTTGAAAAGCATCTTTGTAAAAATGTAACTATATAAAATGTTTTCTATATTCAATCACATCTGACTGTCTACATCTGATTTGAGAACTGCGACCCGCCTGGTGTCTTTTGATCCGGGGTCTAGATGGAAAAAAAAAACTGTGGAATCAGCCTTTCTGTGTTCTCACACTTAGGAAAAAGTTTTCCCATCTCTCCAATTTGAAATCTCTGAAGATGTTGTATGAAGATGGGTTTTTGTGCCTTTATTGGAGAGAGAGAGGCGACAGTGGATAGAGTTGGAAATTGGGCGAGAGAGAGAGTGGGGGAAATCATGCGGGAAAAGAGCCGCAGGTCGGATTTGAACCTCTGCACATGGGACGCATGAGACAACCACTTGTCCACTGGCACTCCCCCCCCCCCCCTTATTCTGCTGCTTAAAGCATAAAGCATCATTGAAAAACCATGTGGGCCATCTTCAAGCAGATATGAAGCTGTAGTTTAAATGTTAAACTGGATGTTTTCATGAGATGAATCTGAATAATAAAGTATTTTTTTAAAGTTGGTTCACCTGATAGAAACCAGCAGCATGTCTTACAGGGCCAAAACAACCTCCCCAGGGTCCCCGATGTAGGAACCAGTGTGATGTATTGGAGTCTGACTCAAAGATCTTTGACTTTTCCCTTTACATAAAAGGGAATTATATTTAAATGATACCCTGCCATCTTCCCACCCAACAGCTCCCCTGAGCTCATGTGCAGTAAAACATCGTGGGATCAACTCTACATTTGCCCTTTTTTTTTTTTTTTAAGATTTATTTTTGGGCTTTTTGTGCCTTTAATGGAGAGATAGGAGAGTGGATAGAGATGGTAAACCAGGGAGAGAGAGTGGGGAACGACATGCAGGAAAGAAGCCACAGGCCGGACTCGAACCCGGGCTGCCCGCCCCGAGGACAACAGCTTCCACACATGGGGCGCTTGCACCAACCACCGTGCCACCAGCGCCCCCTACATTTGCCTTTTGAAGGATAAGAAGAGGACATAAGCTGACAAACAAGTATAACAAGAAAATGTTTATTTCAGGAACATATGAGAGAGCGCATTTTCTCTCTCTCCAGTATTCTCTCTCCCCCATTACAGCATGTAAAAATCTGGATACAAACAAAAAGATTAAAGTGAATCATGATTGAATCTGAGAATCTGGATAATTATGACTCTGCTTGAGTGCACTTAGTGTTAAAAATGTTTTAAAGGTCAAACCGGACTGTATTTGTTTTAACAACGCACAAGTTAACCACACTGCTCATGATGTTTAAACCTCCGCTCCACTCTGCTCTGTCACTGTTTTTAATAACGGCTGATGAAACAACTCAGCATCTCTCCACACATCTCAGTCCGTCAGAGCCCGTCTCCCTCTGGACACCTGACACTTACTCAGAAGATGGAAGACCTCATTGATGGTATGCATTTTAGTGGTTCATGAATAACTGCTAAGTAAACTTTCCTCCAGTGTGTGTCAATATGGTGGTGTTTTGTCTGTTTGTCTTTTTACCTTGTTTGGTTTTACATTGGGTTTTTATCTGGTTTGTTTCATCTGTTCTCTAATGACTCCTGAGTCTGTCAATAAAGATGATGATTCATTTGGTTCAGATCCATCTCCAACTGC